TACCCTTCTGATACTGTATTAATTTGTACACAATCCATCACAGCTGTACGACAGAGTATTAGGGCCAGTGACAGATTAATATCTTTCATCCAAATTAGCTACGTGCCGACTAAATCTGTCTATGCATCCATTAATTACAATTCAGCTTCATTTTATAGTCGTTTGCACAATTTCGAAATCCTGCTACTGATAGTTTGATACTAATGTGCTAAAAGATTAACTATTTATTTATAGCAATACTAAAAACCAACTTGAGAAATTGCTCAACGTTCCTCATTTTGCATGCTTTTCATGTAAAGGCTACAATATTACGACTTTAAACTCATAATATTATGACTTTAATCTCGTAATATTATGACTTTAATCTCGTAATATTACGACTTTAAACTTGTACAATTACGACTTTAATCTCGTAATATTACGACTTTAAATTCATAATATTTTGAATTTAATCTCGTAATATTATGACTTGTAATATTATGACTTTAATCTCGTAGTATTATGACTTTAATCTCGTAATATTACGACTTTAAACTCGTGATATTACGACTTTAATCTCGTAATATTACGACTTTAAACTCATAATATTTTGAATTTAATCTCGTAATATTATGACGTAATATTATGACTTTAATCTTGTAATATTATGACTTTAATCTCGTAATATTACAACTTTAATCTCGTAATATAACGACTTCAAACTCATAATATTACGAGATTAAAGTCGTAATATTACAACTTTAATCTCGTAAGATTGACTTTATTTTAAACAACTTTAACGTTGTAATATTACAACTTTAATCTCGTAATATTATGACTTTATTTTATATCACTTTAACGTTGTAATATTATGACTTTATTCTCGTAATAAAAAAATCAAAAAAATCTCTTTTTGTGGCTCTAATACTCCGTCATACAAATGCATGTTTTTAGAAAAAATATTTTTTGGAGGTCATCTCCCAATAAATGTATTTTGGAAAATCTAACCACACACTGTTACTCAATACTCTAACTTTTAATACTTAAGTAGATTTTATGTCAGAAATTTACTTTTGATACTTAAGTACAAAAAAAATTCTGATACTTTAAGACTTTTACTCAAGTAATATTCTTAGAGGAGACTAACTTTTACCAAAGTAATTTTATGATAAGATACTTGGACTTTTATTCAAGTGTTACTTTGAGGGACTTTATACAACACTGGATACCTCAAGTTATCTTATCATTTATCATAAAAGGTGCAGGTTGGTTAATAACCCTCCTGCTGTCAGTTGGTGATAAGTCCCATAATGTAACATTTTGCTTTGATTTTTTCTTTCTGTACAGTTTCTGTATCAACAATTAGGACGAAGCGTTTAAGTGTTTTAAATATGAGCAGTCAAGTGGAACACTTTAACTGGGACAAATAACAGCTGAAAAGTACTTTAGATTCACTTGAACACTCCTCTGTGCAAACATGTAGGGCTGATGTAAGACACGCATGAGCCTCCCTCATCTGCAACAGTCAGAGCAGCTGAACACAAACACTGAGGACGATGCAAAGACTTTGATTTCCAGGAAATAATAAATGCCAACTCTCTCCTTGGTTGTGTTTCCACAGAACTGTGCAACACATCAGTTCTGCTTTTTGTTGCAGCACGTAGTCAGGCCATAAAAGATGATTGGTGTGCGATATAAAGATATCAATCTGACTGAAGTGTCCCGTCCTGATCGGGATCCTTTCTTGGCATCATTGGAAAACTCTCAGCAATTCTTTTTTTTAAGCAGTTTTGCTTTCCAACATTTAAGGCAACATAGTTTTTTTTCTTTTTGTTTGTCATATTTTGATATTTAGAGACTTTAAACAAATAGATATCATCAGTTAAAAAATGAATTTCTTTATTCTGACAAATTTCAACATGAAAAGGTTTCACTTGTGTGTAAATTTTGGTGTGTTTGGACTGAGTGAGTCAGCTTTCTGTTGGGACTTCTTAGTTTCTCCAAAAACTTTTAATCGTGCCCTTGTGAGATTTCTTTATATCTACGATCATATATATATATATATATATATATTTTACTTTTCATGTCTTCTTTAGCTTTCGCGCCATCAACCTAACACAAACACAAACAACCGTTTCTGGTAAAATCTGGTGTATGAAGACCTGAAATCCTGCTGATCCCTTTAAGACAAAGAGAAAGAAGCTCTAAATATAAACGATTTAGCAAATATTGGACATTTAATAAAACCCCAGCTGTTTTATTTGCTATAGAGAACCATAAGTAGAGAACTGCAGCCTTGTTGCTGCAAACGCTCTCAGATTGTAATTTTATGAGCGTTTGACAAACCTTGTAATTTAAATCCTTGGGATTTTTTTTTTCATCAAAGAGCTAAAACCACACTCGACTACTGCTTTGTTCAAGATTATGCAAACGAGTGGGCTGACTTTTAAAGAATGTCTCTCTTGCAGCTGCAGGTCAGTCTGAGGGGCACAGATGATCTACAAGGAAGACATTTCTACTCACGCAGATGTAGAACGTGGAAACATCTGGGCAGAGTTCTGTTGGGCTGCATTTACACTCCATAACAGAACAACTGTAATTTATTATTCTCTAATTGGCCGGTTTGTTCATTAAACCAGCCCTAGATGTATGAAGATACAGTAATTTACGTTTGATCCCTGATTCATAAACACGTTTCTTCTTTGTTGAGATCTTTCATTTAAAAAAAGTAATTTGTTTAACTGGTAATTTACTGTTTATAGTTTGTAACCTGGATAAATTCAGTCTTTTTCTCTTCTCTGCCTCTAATGATTGTTATCTCTCTCACTTATTTTGCTGAAGCTTGGTTTTATTATGCTGATGAGTCAAAACTCCATCAGAAGCCGAAGGGGAAGCTGCGGACTTAAAGAACCTTTACTTAGTTGTTTGCGTCTCCTCCTCAGATGACTCTTACCTCCCTCTCGCCTCCTCTCTCAGCCTCTTCTACCTCTTTCCCCCCCTTCCTCTCTTCCTGTCTTTCTCTCCGGCTCGTTCGCTCTCCTCCTCTGGGTGTTCACCCATAAACTGCTGGAGCAGCTCAGCTAATTGGACAAAATAGTTTTGATGAGATTCTCCTCCTCTCGCCTTGTTTTCCATAAACTACAGTCTTGCTGCGTAATTTCAGAGTTTATTCCTTCCTCCCTCTTTTCTTTTTGGCAACGTCTTCCAGATCACTGGCTTTTAAGAAAAGATAAAGTCAAATTTGCCTGTTCCAGTTTTTTAATCTCCACATTATTCAGCATTTTTCAGTCTTGGCATCTGGAGACATTATATAATGTTCAGTTCACACAAGAACAAAAAGAAGGCTTATATCGGAGACTAATCCAATAATCACACTTTAGATTGCATTTTGCACTATAATGCTGCATTTATTTTATTGACTGGTTGTTTTCTTAAAGAGCTTAATGAAGGAACTTCCTACACTGCAAAAACTGTCCATCTTACCAAGTTTTAAAACCTTATATCAGCCAAAAAGTCTTTTTGATCTTGTTTTGAGACTGATTTACTAAACAAGAACTGATTGTGTAATGGTGCATTCACACCGAACGCGATTTCAGCGTCAGGAGCAGCAGGTTTACATGCAAAGTCTATGGTGGACGCGCTTCAAGCAACATCGGGAAGTTCTGCGGCGCCTCAAGCGCGATTAGAGCAGCGCGATTTGAACGATTTGAACGATCTGAGCGTTCGACGCTCAGATCGTCCAAATCGCTGAAGTTGGGAAATCTGAACTTTTGCAGCTCGACGCGCCACATCAACCAATCAGAGAGACTCCACTATGTGACGTAGCAACATATTTCCCGACGGGACAGTTTACTGAATGATGTCCACTAACCTGAAACAGACGGAGCGGAGCTCTTCAGCTGAAATGASTGCCTGCAGTCGTGTCCTGATCCGCAGCAATGCGTGGCAGCGACTCATCAGACTGGAAAAATAGTCCTGAAAGCAGCTGTGAGCCTCTACTCTGAATTATCTGGTGAATTAATTATGAATTAATTATCTGATGAACCTGACACGTCTCTTGCTCTCTGTAAATAAAGCAAAGCCACTTCCTCGTCCGACATTAAACAGAGCCCAACAGAGGAGGGAGGGGCGGGGAGGCTGTCGCCGTGCAGCGCTTCAAGAGCTGTCCTGCGTCTGACCTCGAAGTGCACAAGCTTCAAACTTCAGCGTTGGCTGCGATTTTGAAGCTGAAATCGCGTTCGGTGTGAACGCAGCATAAGAATAATCATCTTGTTTTCAGAATGCGTAAGATTATTTGTCTTGTTAGTCTGAAAATTTGACTCAAGTCAAAATTTTCTGTCAATGGAGTAAGAAAATTTTACTTGGTCAGATTCTTGAAATAAGAAAAAAATGAGTCAAATCAAGTATTTCAAGAATCTTACCAAGTAAATATTTCTTACTCCAATGGCAGAAATTTTGACTTAATTTGAGTCAAATTTTCAGACTAACAAGACAAATAATCTTACACATTCTGAAAACAAGATTATTATTCTTACACAATCAGTTCTTGTTTAGTAAATCAGTCTCAAAACAAGATCAAAAATACTTTTTGGCTGGATAAGAGAGTTTAAAACTTGGTTAGGTGGACATTTTTTGCAGTGTAAATTCACAATGGTGTTGAAAAAACACAAAATTGTCAAAAATGGAATTGAAAGGTCATTAGTTTGATTAAAACAGGTGATGTATTGGCACCTCCTTGTGCCCGGATGAAATCTGGGCGTAAAAAAAAGTATTTGTTGAAACAATATTTAGTGGGGTTTTTTTTTTATTAAAACTGAACATTTCCCCTTAAATGTTGCTGTATTTGTTAGAAAACTGCATTTATGGGTTGAGCATCAAAGTTGAGAATGAGTAAAAAAAACAACAAATCTTTGTCATTATACACTCATGAGTGTAAAGCTGCATTTTTGCATGAAAAGAAATGTAAAAGTCAGGTTTTAAAAGTTCAACTCCGACTGCATCTTTATGTTCCTCTCTTTCAGGGGGACCCCCTGATGTTGGCAAGATGCTGGGTGGGGAGGAGAAGGAGGAAGACCCCGATGCAGCCAAGAAAGAGGAGGAGCGACAGGAGGCGCTGAGGCAGCAGGAGGAGGAGAGGAAGGCCAAATATGCCAAGATGGAGGCGGAGAGGGAATCGATGAGGCAAGGCATTAGAGACAAGGTATGACGCTCCACAAAGCAGCTGTGGAACAAGCTGTTATCTGAGCTACAGTCGGTCTTTTATTAAAAGAACAGAAGCTGACAAAGAAAAAAAAGCTTTTATTTGTTGTGAAATGGAGGTAGAAAATTTTTAAAGACTCTAGCTTTCATCCTGATTTCATCATGGCTTCAATTTCCGGCCTGTGTGACAGCAAATCTCCTTTTTTTACTATCCAAACGATTTGATGCAGACTATTTTTTGCACCACTTTTGTGTTATTTTTGTCTGTCAGATTAAAAATAGACCAGTGGAGGATCAGGACGCTGTTCAGAAGTGAGAGGAACAAAGAAAGCTTATCATAAGGACCGAGAACTGAGGTTTTATTCAGAAGCTGGCAACCGTAGAGGGCTGATTTAAAAAATTTAAATAGCCACCATGACATGAAGCTGTTAATTAGTCATGATGCCGTTCTGCAATATTTATATTACCTTTGCATGTGCTGACAGAACCTAAAGCCTGCTGAGATAAAATTAGTCTCTGCAGAAATTTGAAACTTTAAGCTTGGATATGCCGAAAGGACCTTTGGTCACAAATATAACACAGCCCAGTACACACTGTAGGTAGTACTGTACTTGAGCAGTACCCAGCTGGTATTTAAATGGTACACCATTACATACTTAAAACATACCAGCCTTATACTTACCTGGGATGTACCTTACCCAGTACGTGTCGGTACTAAACTTATGTACTCATTTCAGACCTAGTACTTAACCCTGTAATGACTCTCCTGCTTACCCAGTATGTATCTATTCTGTACCTATACCAGGGGTCTGCAACCTTTACAATCAAAAGAGGCATTTCTTTCCCTTGGCTCGCTAATAAAAATGTGTCCTGAGCTGCAAAACGTGCTCCAATTGTGTTTATCAACTGGTGGCCCATGGGCCACTGTGGGCAACATTAAAAAAAAACTTAAAAATAAATAATGAATTTGAATGTTTATTATCATTTGTACACTTTAGGACATATTAGCCCATATTAATGCAAACAAGATATATAGAGGTGCAACGATGCAGAAAATTCACAATTCGGTTCGATTCAATGCTTTAGTCTCACGGTTCGATATTTTTTCAATACAAAAAAGAGAAATTTCCATGCCCATTTTAAGTTGTTATTTATTTAAATCAAGTATGAACATTTGTTTAACCTCAAAAGTACAGTTTTTAAATTAAATGTTGCTGAAACAGCAAGTTTCTCAGTGGATCTGTTCTGCGCTCAACAATGCAGCCTAGGTGGAGTAGTCGAACACAGATCCACTGATCCTTCAACACAGAGCATCTTCAGAAGACAAGTTAATAAAATAAATGTTAAAAATCTGTATTGTTCCATACAAGTGTGTGTTGAGCCTAAAGCACTGTATTAAACGGTTCGATACGGGTACATGTAATGTTGCACCTCATATAGTTTATACCAAATTTTTAAAAAATTGTAGTTATTATTATTATCTAGCCTAGCCCCTTGGCAGTCTTTGTTCCACTGGTGGGCAAAAAAGAGTTTGGTTTGGTTTATGCCTTTAAACATTTTCTGACATTTCCAAATGCTACCTGGGGCTTTTTTTTTCTTTTTTTTTTTTTTTTGAAAACCAAGTTGTCAGATGACTTCCTCTGATTTTTACCGGAGCTTGATACCCCTTACAAATGATAAAAAATAATAAAAAAAAAATGTCAAAAAGCCTTAAAGGAATTTTAGGGCCAACTGCTAAGGGGCTAGTCTTAAAGGTCTTTAAAGGCAACACTGATGGATTATTAAAGTGGCCAACAGGATACTAGCATGATCTAATCAACATGTTTCACTCATTGTATTAGTAGTATCGATCACATATTTGCAAACTAATAGGAAAAACAGCTAAATCTTTCTAAGCCTTTTATGTTGTGGGTATAAAAACCAATGTAAAACAATCCCATGTTGGTCTTGGTCAAAGAGCCACTGCAGAGGGACCAAAAGCCACATGTGGCCCCAAACCCACAGGTTGCAGAGCCCTGTCCTAGACCTTACTCAGTATGTATGTCGTGCTTTCCTGTTACTTACCTGGTATAAACCAGTTTCGTACTGGGTTGTGTATCTGTCCTCAACTGCACATTAGAGCCCTTCTCAGCAAAGCTCACTAACAATATGTGAGACCAAAACTGATTTGGCCAAACAGTAGTAGTAGTCAGTAGTAGAAACACTCTTCTTAAACTTTCATCTCTTATAAACGTCTGCTTCTGACCACCAGTACGGGTTGAAAAAGCGCGAGGAGGCCGAAGCGGAGGCGGCAGCCGCTGCAGAGGTGCCCGCAGAGGGCAGCTTGACCCGACCCAAGAAAGCTGTGCCGGCTGGATGTGGAGACGAAGAGGAGGAGGAGAGCATCATGGACACAGTGATGAAGTATCTGCCAGGCCCACTGCAGGACATGCTGAAGAAGTAGCATAGCTAACATCGTAGTTGTAGCTTCATTCACAGGGTTGGATGAGTCAGACCCTTATTTGATATTTCTCTCACCCCCCAACAATGACACATAAAACATAAAGTGAAGGTAGAATTGATGAAGTGTTTTTGTTTCAGCCAAATCAAAGTTTTCTAATGAAGCGACGACCAACGATGTGAAAAAGGCCATTAGCCTAAACTGACTCAACGTCAGCCAGGTGAATTTTAGCTCGATGGACGTTAATCTAATAACTAGAGGAGGAATAAACACATGTTGGATGGTTTCTCCTTCTATTTCTGAGAAGTTTTAAACTTATTTCTCTCCTCTGCGACAGCTGTGAAGCTCTCTCGCAAAAATAATTCACCACTTCCTTTCAATTTGTACATAAATAAACGCATTGGAAGCCTCACGGTGGGTGAAAAGCTACAGAAAATTGCCACATAAAAATAATAATAAAAAAAGATTACTCGATAAGCCATATTTTAAAAAAATATATAATAAAGACTACTGTCGTGTGATCCTAAAGTTTATGTTGTGTGTTAAAACGTGTGTGAAATTTATGTGAATCTTTGCACACAGTGTCACACTTCCTCTGTCATGTCTGCCCTTCAGGCACTCCCACAGCACTCAGACATCAGTGTGGTAAATGTTCATGTTGTACAGTGTTTAGAAATGTTTCTGTTCCCTTACTGAATGTGTCTCCTGTGTCTTGCATGCCATTTGTCTGGGAAAAAAACAGTTTATTGTGAGAATATGTATCCAAACTTCCACCTGTTCGCTATTTATCACATTCCTTCTCATGCAAAAAAAAAATATATATATATATCAAGGCAATAACTCCTGAGTTTAACTGTGTTTTTCACAGCCATGTTTATATAGCCTCTATTACTATTATCAATTCAACAGTATGGTATAGTATATACAGTATTCAGGAAACTTATGTTTTGCTGGGTTTTCTTTTTTCGTGTGCGTTTGTTTTTGAGTTCTTGTTTTGGTGAAGAATGACCGAGTAGCTGTTCAAACAACAGCTAAAACCTTAAGCTTTCAGCCATAAAAACACAACTGACAATAGTACAATCAGGATCCATGAGAAATGAAAGGATATGGAGGGAAAACCGAATGTAGCTTTCACATTAGCTGTAATACACAGGAGAGGACAGGATTGATGAGAAAAGAGGCCGCCTTCCCTCACACAATGTGAAGTGACTACCACAGTTCACCTGTTGAGTTTCAGAAAAGAAAAAGATCTTAAGAGGTTGAGTATAATTGTTCTGGATGAGCGAGACACAGAAAGGAAAGAGCAATAAGGGATTAACCTGTGTATGTTTCTGCTTGAGATTCAATAAAGATCTTGTTCAGACAGAACGTGTTCTCTTTCTTTTCCTCAGCAAATTCAAAATGAAGTAAACTGAAAAAAAGTTGATTCTACACATTTTTCCTCTCCCATTCCATCTGGAGCTCTGATTTCTTCAATAGTCTTACTCTTTGCCACTCCTCCCAAAGATTCTCAGAAGGATAAAGAAGAACCCAGGCTGCAGTAGCTTAGTCTCTCCCATCTCACCTGGGTGATCACAGGTGCCTTGGTGGTCTCTCTCACCATTCTCCTTCTGGTCACTCAGTTTGTGAAAACAACATTCTCTTAGTAGACCGTCCACCATTAAACAGAGGTGGAGGCCTTCGTGTCCATTTGTCCTCCTCCTACAATGCTTTTATTGCAAGTATGACTCAGCCCCCTCAGGGCCCCAATGATACCAACACAAAGAGGGAGAGACAAAAACAAGGGGATGTTGAACCCCCACTTGCATTCACTATATTCACATAACACGACACGGGTCAGGTGATGGGGCACATGACCCTCTATGAACAATAGAGCTAATCAAGCCTATTGTTAGGCGATGGTCCTCTTTTGCATGTGACTAACCTGTTTGTCCATGTGGAGGCAGTGCTTTTAAGGCTGAGTTCACCTGAAACTCATCAGACTGAAGAAGTCTCTTGGAGGAGAGACGAAACGTTTCACTAAAGAAGAACCCATCCAGAGGACCTACTTATTTTTTTCTTTTTGAACATTTAGTAGGGTTACATGTGTCCCGTATTCCTTCTTGTTCTTGATGATGGGTTAAACAGAAACCCTGGTGATGTATTGGGCCTTGGAAATTCTTGTGTCCAACCCATATGTGTAATTTGCAGGGGGCTGAGGGGGGGTTATGACCTCCACAATAATTTGATCCAGTCAAAATAACCCCCCAATAAATTGACAATTTGCTCAAACACAATAAAAATTAACTGGTTAAGTAGACAGATGCAGCTCTCTTGTCTTTAGGTAACTTTAACCTGATTAAAAAATTTACCATGTCATATATGTACGCTTAAGCATAATTGTTAAAAATTACATGCAGGGTTTTAGAGCATAACCACCATAATTGGTAGACTTAAAATTATGCCCTTGGTCCAACCTGAAAATCGCTTAAAAAGGGGTGAAAATTTATGCAGTTACTTATAATTTTATTTCATTGATATAACTCTAGAGCAGGGGCTATTCAACTGGCGGCCCGCGAGTGACCAAAGTTCGGCCCGCCAATTGGTTCATGCATCTCTTAAGCCCCAAACCCCATTTATCTACTTTAATTACTCTAAGTTATTTTAGATAAACATAGACATGTTTGGTATCTACAGAAACGTCAGAATCTTGACTAGAAGCTGGTAAAACCATTTCTACGAACACTCAAGACAGTTAAAACTACAAGTTAAAGATAAAACTATGAAAGTGAAAATAAAATTTGGCAAATCAGAGATGTCAAAATATTTGTGTGAAAAGAAGGCAAAATGTGTTCTTTTTGTTTTTGATATTGTTTTATTATCACTACTTTTATTATAGGGTTCTGTATGTTGTATTCATGATTAAATGCAGCAACATAAACTAATTAAGAGGTAACAGATCTTTGTAATATTTGGTTTATTTACATAATAACTTTGATTGCTGGATGTTCTGCCCCTGAGCTGTTGACCTGCAGAAACTGTGGCCCCCGAAGCAATTTAGTTGAATATCCCTGCTCTAGAGGTTTGGTTTCCTTTTGATGGAAGGCAGCAGCCATTGACCATGACTGATTTATGAAAGTGCTAAATGTGCAAACTAGTGCAGGAGTTCCCAAACTTTTTCATGCCATGGCTCCCCCAAACAGCATTGGCTTCTGGCCAGGGACCCCCCTTACAAACCCACAAACAATGCTACAAAATATGTAAAAAAAAAAAAACCCATCAACTCCCACTAAAAACAAACAAAAATTTTTTTTCAGCAATTCAAACCTCTCTTAAATAACTAATAATTCTGCTTGTGATTATACATTAGATTTTAAAATGTTTGAAAAACAAATTACGTTTTACGAAAATGATTTAAAACACGTATTAGAATTTTTTTTAATCTTCCCTCCAGCTTTCTAAGGACCTCTTCCCCCACATTGAAAAACACTGGCCTAGTGCATCCCAAATTTTTCAACATCATCATTATAATTGTTATGGTCTTTAGAAAAATGTTTTTATGGGGAGGTGGGGTTGTGCACTATAGACCCCTTTGGTGCAGTCTAAGCTTTTGTCCTTAATAGCCTTTTATCATTTACATTACTTTTACTATTATACTTTATGTAGTTTTAAAACCAGTACTTATACTTTCACTTGAGTAAAACGCTTGCTAACAGTAAGTAGACTTTTTCAATCCTATACTTTACCTGAGTAAATAATAATAATGTGCTTATTTCTAGCCTTGATTTCAGACACTGCAGCACATCTGCTTAAATAGTTTTTGTTTGCTGTTAGTAGTTTTCCACAGTAAAGCTGTTGTTTGACAGAAAAGGTTCAGCAGAAAAAACCAGGACAGTTTCTGTTGTTCTCATGTTTCACCACAGAGTGTCTCTGTGGTCGTTCCAGGGTATCGTTTATGCCACAGATGTAACTAAAAAGCAAGGTTAAATAGTTTTAAAGCTTTTATTAAACTCAATAACACATTCAATCAACAAGTGTTCTAATAAAATAAAAAACAGTCAAGCAATAAAATAGAAAACACCCACACACACACACAGAACAGCGGAAGAGCAGTAAAGTGTAAAGTTATCTTTAACATGCAGTTAAGAATGTTTACATCCACAAAGACACACAGCTCTGACCAGTTTGAAATTAAGCTGTGGTACAAAACAACTTCATCAGACTCAACAGGTACAACTTTCCACATCAAGGAAGCATTCAAAACCCATTATTAAGTTCATCTTTTTAGACTTTGCTGTTTTTACTGGTGTTTCATGGGCTACTATTCTTGGTTAGATCACAACGAACTCGTACATTGTTTTTACTGTGCTGTAAATTTTAAAGAAAACAAAGTCCTCCTTATGCATTGCTAAACGTTCAGCAGAATTTGCACATGAAGTTGTCAAAGACGCTAACAACTTGTCCTTGATAAGAACATCTCCATAAATCCAAGTTTAATAGTTTAAAGCTGTATTTCAGGAGTGGTTTCTGTTACGACCCGTCACTGCTAAAGATGTTCGAGAAGCACGCTGTATTTTTAAAAATAAGATCCCTGTTAAATCTGTAATTAAAATTTACACCAAAAATTGTTTTTTATTGAAGCCAACAAACTTTGTTCCAGTAAGCGCAAGACGTAAACAAACCAGACCCCGTTGAAAGTGTAACACTAATCCATTTAAACTTGTTTTCTTTGCAATGCTCATTGAAAATCTTTAAGAAAAACAATATTCCCAGAAAGCAAACACGAACTATAAATGCTGCGTTTTGTACCAGTAAAATTAAAAAGAGCAGTTCATGGTAAAGCACAATTAGTCCAAATGATTGAGTCAATTTCCTCAGGTTTGTCTTAAATAAATATATTTGGTACACAGTGATAAATCATACAGTAGCCAGGTTACCTTTAAATTACAGAAGCGCTCAGACTCATTGAGTTTGCAGCACATCAGAAATCCACTAATGGGTCGTTTTTTATTTTTTTCTTATTCTGTATCACACTTCACATTAGAAACCCTACACGCTGCTTTTGCTTTTAAAACAATAATACCAACACAACGTAATTATGATACAGTTACATTTTAATCTTATAAAGCTTTAACTTTTCTTACCGGAGAATTTTAAAAGGCAATGCATACATCGCCTGGTAGGTTTATACAAAGAGCTGCAGGTTTGCCTGAACGACAAAAACTTCAGAGAAATAAAACTATCTTTTTCTCACTTCTTGCATGCACTGAAAGCTCTGAAGAACGCTGCAGATTTCAACAGAAACCTTGAACTTTTACCAAACAACTGAACCTGTTGCACCGTCGGTGGGTGGGAGGGTAATGACAGGAGGGTGCGGCTGATGGGAGGAGGATGAAGGTAGACCCGGTTTCTACACATTTGTCCGACACTTGGGGAAGATGGGTCCTCCCTCAAGCCTTCTCTTTCTTACTGCAGAAACAGAAAACAATTCAGTTTTAAGGATAATCCAAATAAAAAAGGACAAGAAGAGAACACAAGTGAATTTAGTCAATCTTATTAGGCAATATAAAGTTAGTCTGCTGTATTTAAATCATCAAAAGAACAAAGAGGGGAAAAAAGAATAAAAGAAAGGCAGAAAAAAGTTAAATAACACCAGAGATGGATCAACCCAGGTAATAAAGCAGGCATTGTCCTGATTCAGTTCATCTTTTTGAAAAGCACAATATTTATTTTACATAAAAAGAAAGTTTATATTTAAATGACGTTGAAGGGGTGAGCCACACTTTTATTCCCTCCCAACAGAATTACTGAAACTTTGTATGTTAGTGAGAATCAGGCCAGCTGACAGTTCATTTCAAATCACTGCAACTCATCATTTAAACATGAACAAAAATGTGTGAATGAAAATATCTCTCCCTTTATTCCATTCAGTTGTTTGTTTTAGAATCGATTTTAAAGGGATCCATGATTAGTTGTAACATTAGACTTTATTT